AAAAAAAAAAAGGCTTTATTCGGTTCATGCTAAACCAGGGTTATTATCATTTAACTAAAATTAAAACTAAAACGATAGTAACCATTTGGTTGCTTAAAATAAAATAAATGTTAATTGATATAAAATATATTTGTAAAAAAACTTGGAGGTTTATTTTGTTTTATTGTTTAGTTTAGCTTGAAGTACTAAAATAAGTAAATAAACTAATAACAATTAAAAAAAACTATATAGACATAAAAAAAATAGAAAAGGGGGAAAAATACAACTAAAACTTGAACTAAAATTAAAGTGAAAACAGAAAATATAAAAATAAAATCTGATTACAAAATTTTACAAAAACTGTAATAGTATATCAGTAATACTAAAATAACATTGTACAAAACAAAGTTTCTTTCTTCCTTTTTATCTTTTCAGGTCACATATCGACAGGTTTCATGAGATTCAGCCCACTAATACCTGATGTGTACAATATGTGCCATGATAATTAATGCAGATATGTTCAGGAGTTTTAACTTGGAGATGACCTTGAAGTGTGAAATTGTAATGTATATGAAATATAAATTGTATGACTTCATTTATTTTGCAGATATTGGCTATGAGAGTCTGATTAATCTGATGCTGAAAGATCTCTTCAAACTGCTGGTGTCCTGTGTGGCAGAACCAGCCGAGACCATCTCCAGAGTGGGCTGCTCCTGTATTAGGTGTGTGTGTGTGTGTGTGTGTGTTTAAACATATTGAACTGCCTACATAGACAGCATCAAACTCTCCTGAAATCAATTCAGAGCACACTCTACCGTGTGCACCATGTGAGGAGTGTAGTCTTTGTGATGTAGAGCGCTCTAAATCGGTCACTTACGATGTTACATTCAGATGCATGAATGCAGTTGACTGCATGAGGTTTAGTTGAATAAAAATACAGGTTAAGTAGTGACAATCATTATGTATCTCAAGTGCTTAACAGGTTATTTTCAAGATAGTTCATTGAAAAAAATGCTTGAAGTTATGCTGCAAAATAAGATTAGTTTAGTTTTATGTCTCCAGTATAGTAGCAATGGACATATTAAGTTCTGATTTGTTATTTTTGATGTCCAGGTATGTTCTGGTAACAGCAGGGCCTGTTTTCACTGAGGAGATGTGGCGGTTAGCATGCTGTGCCCTGCAGGACGCTTTCTCGGCTACCCTGGAGCCTGTGAAGGTGACTATCATAATAACAGTTATTGAAGCTGTGTCTCCACTGTCCAAAAATCTTGCATGAGCCTTGACAAAAAACTTTGTTCTTTGTAACCAGGATCAGCACAAAGTCATTGTCATGCAAGTGGGCACTAATTCTATGCATGTGGCTGAAATTGTGTGTGCATGGTTTGGTTTTGTGAATGGTTTCAGTGTTATGAAATTTAAGGTCGTAAAAAGTGTTAATGATCTTAATTATCATTTTGAAAGGTCCTAAATTTGGGGATGGAAAAACAGGTCTTGTGATACATCCTAAATTGATTATTACAATTCAAAAAGCAATGATTTTGTTAAATGTGAGTCCTGCATGTTCAAAGTCAAGATTCAGTGCTGTTGCATGTTGTACAGTACAAGCTCAAAGTTTCAGAGCAGTTCGCAATTAATGAAGTTGTGTGAAAACCGCAATACACAGCCATTAAAAACTAGGTACAATTTCAAAAAGTATAGTATCACGGTTTCCACAAAAATATGAAGCAGCACAACTGTTTTCATCATTGATAATAAGGAATGTTTCTTAATCAGCAAATCAGCATATTAGAATGATGGATCTGAAGGATCAAATGACTCTGAAGACTAAAGTACAGTTATTTCAAGTTATAAAAATATTTACTATTTTTACTATATTAAATGTAATACAGTGTCATATATTAAATGTAATACTATGTCATGGCATAGTATTAAATGTAATTGTCAGGGACACAATTTTTGTCATAAAAGTCTTGCCTCTGGGAAAGCTTTTGTAAATCACATTCAAGCTACATTAGTTTGAACAGGAAAGTTCATTGCCACATATTTATATATATATATATATATATATATATGATATGCAAAAATGTGTTTACAAAAATAGATTGAAACATGCTTGCGGCCACAGCGGCCACATGTTCTTTGCTTTCTCCACTAATGTAATCTTCTTTAAGGATTAGTGTTGTGGGAAAGAAGGGAAAGAAGGAAAATGGTGCTGCTATCTGGGATATGAATACACATGTGTAAAGATGACTTGTGATTATGACCGAAGACTTTTTCATTGAGACTCTAGTAGGATAGAGTGAATATATACTAATATTATTTTTGATACAAAATTAAGCCGTCATGATTGCAGTGATTTTAATGTCATTTTTATTTGGCAATTAAGTTTCCTAAAGACTGCTCCTAAAGATCCTAAAGAGTGGGGTTGATTAATTTCTATAAATCAGTTCATTCAAGTTATAAACACTGTTGGCTGCAGTGGCTGCAGTGTCTTCGTGGTTGAAATGATGATTCAGCTAATGGATCAAACTAATTGCATTTTAAGCCTAAAGGTCCTTGCGCACTGAGTCCGAAATTTTCGTTGTGTCAATCACGTTTACACACTGCCTCCGAAACTTTCGTCCGTCATAAAAAAAATTCGGATCAGGTTCGATTTTCTGCATTTTTGCATCCGTAGCAAGCATTTTGATAGGAAAGGATGACGAATACGAAAAAAAAAAAAAAAATGCATACGAAAATTTCGGACTCAGTGTGCAGGACCTTTACTCTCAAAACAAATAGATACATTTTCATTGAGTGTTGGCTGAAAAATATTGAGGTATTCTTTTTTTTAAAGGGGTCATATAATGCTACATGCACTTTTACAAGTTGTTTGAACTGAAATGTGAGTTGGCAGTGTGTGTACACAACCACCCTATAATGATAAAAATCCACTCAGTGGTTTTTTGTTAATCTACTAGTGAATGTACAGCGCTCTCTCCCACCTTCAATACCACGACTGAGGTGCCCTTGAGCAAGGCACCGAACCCCCAACTGCTCCCCGGGCGCCGCAGCATAAGTGGCTGCCCACTGCTCCGGGTGTGTGTTCACTGCTGTGTGTGTGTTCACTGCTGTGTGTGTGCACTTTGGATGGGTAAATGCAGAGCACTAATTCCGAGTATGGGTCACCATACTTGGCCACATGTCGCGTCACTTATTAACATTTAAAGGAAAATGCTACAAATCTGCATTTTCTGAAAAAAGCTGTTTTTGACATGGTAAAAAATATGTTTTTTACACTACCATTGAGAAATTTTAACCAAACTATGTTACAGACTTTTCATTAAGACCCTAAAGAATCATATCAACATGTGGAAAATGGGCATCCTATGACCCCTTTAAGCTATATCCTAGACTAGAGAGTGCCATATACTGTTGAGTATCTGGTGTACAAATGAAAGGTTTTCCTTTTATAGTTTTACTTTCACTTACAAATGAATCCTGCTTGCTTGCTGATGATCTTTTGCTGTTGTGTAAATGTTGATGTAGGTCAAGCACAGAGTGCTGACAGATGCAACAGCTTTATTCATGCAAGTACTTATAGTAAAAAAAGTATGTTCTGTTCTGTACAACATGAGATATGTTTTTAATAAGTAGAGAATTAATGTATCACATGTGAATATAAACCAGTGCAAGCTTTGATTTATAGTTTAAAGTGTGAAAAGAAAATCTGTGTTATAGTTTTCTACATACCTTCTTTGTCCTCTGGTAGAATCTGCTAGCTTGTTTCCGGAGTGGTTCGGACAATTTCACTGGAGACGCGTGTGAAGTGAAAGTTGCAGCCCCCTCACACTCCCCTTCAGCCGAGGCTGAGTACATAAGGATCCGGGCCATGGCTCAACAGGTACCTGTGTACCTCAAGTCATTTACAACTGTACACTGACCCAGACATCTTATACCAACTGATGCTGCTAGAACATATTGATACTGTGAGAAAATAGAGCAATAGGTATAAAATGGATAGTTATGGCTATGAAATCTCAAGACAAGTGCTTTATAGATTAAACATAGCTTCAAAGCAGCTTCATAGTAATAAACAGGAAAACAGCATCAATGTCAAAGAGTTCTGCAGTCAGTAATTTCATTCATAATTACAACTTCTTTGGACTATTTCAAAGTCTGTTGTACTGTATGTGTCACAGTTCCTGGTGCTGGTTGGTGGCGCTATGATTGTGAACCACAATTGCCACATGCATGTTATCAGCCCCCATTACTGAACACACAACTCCAATTTGATCTAAATCAGACAGTATACTTGTATGAGAGGCTTGCTGTTTCCCTTTTTTTGCTATAAGTGTATTGCCTTGCCATGGCATGTTCAAGATATCGATAATCTATTCTCAATTTATGTTTTTAATTCCTTGGCAAAAATTTGACCAAGTTTGGTGACAATTGCATGAATTCCCAGGAGTATTTAAAAATTTCACTGTCTGCACTTTTCACAAAATCTGTGAAATCCATGTGCTATCTTTTGCCAGGGCCTACATTCAGTGCTTGGGCTCTAAAATATGAAAATCATAGTCACCACTGCATCTGAGAATATTGGGAATTATTAATATAGTAATAAACAGTACTAAAAGTAGTCATTAAAAAAGACAATAGCAAAATATTAGCAAAATGTTTCTTTAAGCAAAATGTTATATTATCTATTGAGCACTGGAGTAGCTGGTGTTTTATTAAAGCAGTTATTCACATAAGGCCATGTGCTAAGGGAATTTTAGGAACTACAACCCCAAAGATATCATCACATTTTCAAGATTGTGATGAGACCAAAGATTAAAATGTAATAATCTGCCATTAGAAAAATGTAGTGGTTGACCACTAGTCTGAACTATCGGGAGGAAGTATATGTCAAGTCAAGTCACCTTTATTTATATAGAGCTTTATACAATACAGATTGTCAAAGCAGCTTTACAGTATTAAACAGGAAAATCTTGTGCTGATAATGCAAGAGCACAATAGAAAACAGTCAGTTTATCAGTTAAAGTCAGATCATTGTTTATTCAGTGATGTCATCGTTCAGCTCAGTTCAGTTCAAATAGTGTCTGTGCAGTCAAGTCGACAATGTTGCCAGAAATTAAGTGTCCCCAACTAAGCAAGCCAAAGGTGACACTGGCACGGAAGCAAAACTCCACTGGTGACAGAAATGGAGAAAAAACCTTGGTAGAAACCAGGCTCAGTCGGGGGGCAGTTCACCTCTGGCCAGACGAAACCAGCATGGTGTGGTTTAATTCCAGGCTGCAACGCACGTCAGATTGAGCAGAGGACTCGTCTGGTTCTTGTGGTCTTGTGCCGATGGCCTTCGAGGTCTTCGCAGGGGATCTGTCTCTGGGGCTCATCTAGTTGACATGGTCTGTGCTGACATTCAGGGCTGTAGAGGTCATCTCTAGGTGCTGATCCACCA